TTGATGTTAATTGCACGCATTCAAATATAAAAAACTTATTGTAGACAATATTTTTAGTTATTAACAATCTGGTGTGAATGATCATTTTTTATGTTTTGATGTATTACACTAAAATTAAATCAAATAATTTTTAATATAACGTCGAGTTAATTTTATTAAAGTGATACATCATATTTTTAATTTAAAAGGGAGGCTAGAACACATATTTTTTTATAAGACATCGGGTTAACCTAAAACGGAATAAAGATTTTGTTATGAATTGTTGTAAACCCGATAAGATACCCGAAACCCGACGGGAAAACCCGAACCCAACGGGACGCCCCGATAAGATACCTGAAAGATATCGGGACGGGTTTGGGAAACCATGCCCCGCCCCGAACCCGCCCCGTTGCCATTCCTATTCGTTATAGCTCTAAAAAATATTTTAGATTTTAATTATATTGGTATAATACGTTAGATATTTTAAAATTTTAATGTTGTAATAGAAAAAGTAGTATATTATTATAATAAATCAATCAATAAAAATACATTATTTTTAAATATGTGAGATAGATCATAATAGTGAATGTATGTTTGTAGTTCATTTTTATGAATGAGGATAAGCACACTCATAATTTAACACTTCAAATGCTCATTCAACGTTTTTTTAGTAGCATCTTGATTTTCAGCGAACAACTTATGTTTCTAAAGTTGTGGAGAAGTTACCCATGATGGATATATGACATCAGTGAGATAATATGCCATATTATTTTCCCAACCAAACGTAACTTACATTTGTGTTCGACCTACCATGACATCACTAAAAATAGGCGATCATGGAGAGCGTTAATGTCATTGCATGAACATGGTGTTTCGAAGATTACGTGTCATATTTATAAGTCATGAGAGACAAAGACTTCCACAATTATTTTTGGTTTACCGCCTATACCTGCATATTATGTAGCCCAAGCGGTGAGACATTTTTTCATTCCTAGTGCACATAGTCAATGTTGACTATCATACCTAAAAATACATGTTCTTCCCCAACATCGGAAACACACATTCTTTTGAAGTTATGGAAAAGTTATTGACTTGACAAAGTCTTGCCAAAAAAACTTCATTAGGCCTTTGGAGGCACTTTTCACTGAAGCATGAAATAACACTTTCTACGAACTTTATAACAACACCCCTTGTTATAGTTTCACTCGTTTTCACATATTCATCCTATGCATCTGTTGATGTCCTATAAGCCAACATCCGCATAACTCTGGTACATATCTATAATGATGAAAGACCTTGTTTGCATGTAGCATTCCATTTTTATTGAAAATATATTTCATTGGTTGTAACAGTTGTCATTATATAGAAGAATGTTGGTTTTTTTT